GTTTTAGTTCTACTAAACTTTAAAATGGCACCTTTTTGAGAGCGTTTAATAGTAATGGGCAGACTTGTAGGCAGCTGCTGTTCAGCAGTTTGTTCACTAACCTGAATATAGTACTGTGTCCCTCCATCAACCTAGCAGGAACCTATTGAGCATGACGTTGTCCAACATTTCACTGGGAATCCCATGTTAAAAGAACAGAGAGGCAGCGTAGTGATGTGGCAGGATACCAAAATGCATAAGGCTGCCTCTTCTAGAGAGTGAATAGACAACTGAAAGAATAACAGGATTTTTTAGGTGCCAAAAACATAACCATATAAAATGTAACAATTTTATTGTATAATGACATATAAAACCAAACACTAAAAATACGGTATTGTTAAAATGAACATTTAGTTACACTAGAGTTTACTGTGACTTTTTTTGTGAATTATTGCTGCAGCTTCCGCTCAACACGTTGCACCATGAACTGGCTTCTTCAGGAGTGTTATTAGTACTGCAATTGTTGTTACTGTCAAACAAACCAAATACATATATCAGCACATTACATAAAATGTGTTTTGATATTCATACTGTATATAAAGAATATACAACATGAAAATTACAAGAAAATCACAAAATAAGTTCCCCAGGGGGCTTCATACCAAAGGGTCTTGGGGAGATCCCACCATGAACAGGGCAGTTATTTCAAACCATACATTAAGAATTCCAAAAGGGGATTTTTGAATACACTTATGCCAATTTTGGGATGTTTACCAACCAACCAGCTGTATGCCATGTTCCATCTCCCATGAGGTAATAATGGATGATGATTGGTGACTTAAATTAGATACTATGAATGTGCTTTCCCTTTACTGTTTAATATGAATATATTTTATGATCTTTATAGGTATTTATCAGGTGCTGTGGTTTTCTCTCTCCCTCCTATGGCCACATATATCTCCTTGAGTGCCTGGAATTTTGTAATGTATGGTTTGAAATAACTGCCCTGTTCATTGTGGGATCTGCCCAAGGCCTTTTGGCATGAAGCCCTCTGAGGAACTAATTTGTTGTAAATTTCATGTTGTATATTCTTTATATATGAATATAATCCAAACAAAAATTTGTACTGATAAATGTATTTGGTTTGTTTGATAGTAACAACAGTTGGAGTAGTCATAAGACTCCTGAAGAAGCCAGTTAATGGTGCAACATGTTGAACGGAAGCTGCTGCAATAATTCACAAAAAAGTCACAGTAATCTCCAGTGTAACTAAATTTTGATTTTAACAGTATCATATTTTTGTTTTTTTGCTTTTATATGTCATTATACAATAAAATTCTTACATTTTATGTGGTTGGTTGCATCATGTCTTTGGCACTTAAAAAAATCCCATTATTCTTTCAATTGTGTATTTACTTGGTAGTCGGGGTTGGTGTCTGATTCCTGCCCATTGGAATATTTTTAATAAGCTCTTCTAGGGAGTGGGTCACAATGGCAAGGTAAACTCTTAATATGCTAGTAATCAATATGGAAACCTAAGAGTGTAGTTTATAATATAATTTATAATGCACAGCCAATACTTTATAGAAGAGAGCATCTGTGAGTTACTAGCAGAAAGCTGATCTGCCTAGGAGCTGGTGGTGGTTTGGGGAAGGTGTGTTTCTCCTGGCAGTGAGAGAGAGCCACTTCACAGAACACATTCTAGGTGAGTGTCTCATGAGCTGTGCTTGTTCAGCTGGACATTTGGAGCCATATCCTGAACCACAATGGAACTGCAGGGCCCTTTGTTAAATGTGTTCCAGGCAGTTGGGGCTTTTTATGGACTTGGATCAGGGGTATGAAGTATAAAAGTCTCAAACTGCCATCTGTGCACATGTATGGCAAACAGGCAGGTCTGCAAGGGCTTGGACGGTTACTGTGTACAGAGGGAGGTCTGATGAATGGTGGGGCCCCAGCTTTAGGGATCGACCAGCTGGCGTAGCTTCAAGCCCCCCAACCTCCCCGACTTGAGACAGAAGGAAGTTCTTAACTACTCAAGTGACCACTCTTTACAACAGTGGTGTGCAGAGAAGTGTCCTTGGACAGAAGCAGCAAGAGACCATGCCTGGTTCCGCTCCCTACAGCTAAGAACAGGAAACGTAAGTTACAGTACACATAAAACAATCAAAATAGAATGATTAAAAACAATTCTGATCTGACAAATTTTGGTACTTGTGTACACAACATGAATCGAACGATCATGTTTTGTGTCTACTATTGACATTGATGCTAGTGATGTAGGTGTAAATATTGAAACCTTTTAATACCATCTGAGCATCATTTGGGTTCTGAGGTGCACCCTTGAATTATGGCTGATCATGTGCATTTTTTATGGGTACTAGATAGGTCTACATAACCAATGTATCCACTGAATGCATTTCATATGGGGCTTTGGTGTTTTAGAATGCATTATGTACTGTAATTTTAACAATATATTGTATAAAGATGTATTATTTTAGACACAGCAATGTTTAAGCACAGCTGGTGGGTATTCTCTCATGCAAAGAATGTTATGATTCCTATAGACTGATACTTCATTACTGGCCTGGTGATCCATCTTGCAATTTTATCTTTATGGCTCTTGTATATCCTGTTAATGTGTCACTTGAAAACCTGAATGTTAATTGTGGTACGTCCTGAAAATCAAGGGTTAACATACAGTATTAGCAGGACATTTTTAATTCCTAGAGGAAACATCCTTACCTGTTCCAGGTTAATGAAAATGGTTTGGAGGACACTGATGCAAGCAGTCAAGAGTATGCGGTCCTGGAAAGGAGGATATCAGGACTGCTTACTAGGGGGAATGGAGTACAGAGGTGTGTTTACAGACAAATGGCAAGTATAAAGTAGAGAGGCTAGGCAAGTGATTCACACTGAGATAAAGCAAGCCATCTGCAGATTAATTACTAGTCATTGTGTTATTAAAGCATGACTGTACTACTTTTAATACAGTTGCCCTTTAAAGAAATATCCCAACTAAAGTCTTACAATTACCAATCCACACTCCTGCAAGATCTTCTCTGTGCAGCCTACTGTGTGTTATCTAGCACTGATTCAAAAGTATCCATGCCAAGCCATTTTGAGCATTGCAATCTCCATTCCTGTAATCTCCATTCCCACCTTACAGTGGACAACCTTTCAGTAGGAATGAATGGAGACTGTGGTATGCATATGTGGAAAAAGCCAATAGACTTATGTGGTGGCAGCTTACGACTTTGGGTTGGTGCTAGGGGTAGGGGGATTTATGGACATATAGAAGTCTTAAATCATGTATATTTCACCAGAGTGGAATCAAAATGCTTCCAATTTTTCTTTTAGTTATCAAAATTAGATACGTGTTCCCCCACAAGAGAAAGGCGAGAGCACATTTGACACTCAAAGCCTATATGGAAAGGGTGAAATGTAAAGCTATGCTCAATTTTTCAAAGGTATCCACTTGTATTTCTTGTGATAAAGCAGAAAAAAAGCCAACCGAGACCCTTTAAGTGATAAAATTTGTCAATCTGTCTTCTGCTTACTATCATACATTAAAAAAATGAAATGTAAAGATATAGGAGTTATTTTAATTCTATTGTCACATTCTAATTTTCTCCTGCTGCTCACTAACACACTTCTTCTGTAGCATTATTTGTAATATCCCCAACGTTGCCCATATGTACTTATTTGTTAGTATACTAAACATTGTATTGCTGTAGACCAATTTTTTTCAGTGCAACTCACTGGAAGATTAGTGATTTTTATCTCCTTAATTATTTTATGTGGCTGCCATTTAGGTGATCCCTGAAAACTCATCTCTTCAGGGAAGCCTATCACGCCTCCAAGTAAACATTTATTACTTCCAGCAGCTCATCCCCCACAGTTATAACCCTTTGTACCACTTGCGCCACCCTATTAAATTGTAAGCTCTTATGAGTAGGGCCCTCTTAATTCTCTTGTTTTTTTTTTTTGTATTGTATTGTAACTATATTGTCTCCCTTTTTATATTGTAAAGGGCTGTGCAAACTGTTGGTGCTATATAAATCCTGTATGAATATAATAATAATATAATAATCACTAGCTCAAATGGCTGGTTTTCCTGCACAATTCAACTGGCATCTCCCAGAGGCTCCTAGCTATCATCAGAATAAAGTTAATAGCATTTTAAGGAGTAATAACACATAGGGTATACTTTGTGACATGGCTTATTACAGTGCAAATAGAGAAAAAAAATTGATAATATATTTTGCAGGCAGTAAATTTGATTGATATGCGTGGTAATGCCTTTTTGAAATTAAAAAAAAAAATCAACAATGATAAATAACAAATAGCACATGCTTACACCAATTGTATTATGCCTTTTGTTATTTGACCTTCTATTTTTGTCATTGAATTCCCATCAGTTTACCATTTTCTTAGTTAAGACCAGGGATGATTCAGTAAGTAGTTATTAGTAGTTAAAGAGGTGCCATCTAGTGGACATTCAACAATATTATTCCTAAAAAAGCAATCGAGTGAGGTAGGATGGATGTAGACACTGATTTACAGGCTGCATGTATCGCTTTTTTTTCCTTTTTGTCTTAAAATCTGTGCAATCTTTTACATTTTTTTTTAATATGTTTATATATTATCAAATCTAATTGAATTGTAAGCAAATATTTTACCTATTTCATTGTGGTGTTCACTGACGTTTTTCAATCAAATAAAATGAGCCTGTTGCTTAATACTGTATTCCAGGGCTTAAAATTTCAAGTCCTGAGCTACTAGCCAGGCCTTAAGAGTTACTCGCCACCAACAAACACACACAAACAGAGACACCTGTACACACACACACACACACACACACACACAGAAATATTTACACAGAAATATTTACACACATGCACACACATACAGACACATGTATACACACACGGGCATGTACAGACACGCATACACACAGATACATGTACATACATAAAAAAATACACATGCACAGACACATGTACATACATGCACAGACACATATATACACACACACACATGTACGTACATACACACAAACAGACATGTACATGCACGCGCACACACAGACACATGTACACACACACACATACATGCAGACACATGTACAGATACACACATATACATGCATACATAGACACACACATGCACGCACATTAAGTACTCTCTCCTCTCCCCTGAAGCCACCACTGGTTGACATAGAAGATCATGTGACCAGAGTGAGCTGAAATTAGGTAGACACACATCTATAAAAAGTTGCAGTACTTCGTTGTTCACTCACGGAGCCAGGTACTGCACTCTAGGGGGAGGCAGAGAGCACAGCACACACTCCTTCCTTTGCTTTCACTGCGCTCAGCTATTGAGCAGTCTAACAGCTCCCAGTGCCAATAACAGATCCGGCCTGAGCTCCAAACCTGCTCAGCAAGACAGCCCTGGGAGACACACTCGCCCCCACCATAATTTCCACTCGCCACTGGCGAGCAGGTGAGTGGAAATTTCAAGGCCTGCTGTATTCTAATATTTATGTTGACATCATTCGATTACACCATGTAAACAATTACATTTTATAATAACACCACCCTATAAAAGTATGTTTTCAGTTTTTGTTTTTTGTTTTGTTTTTTAGTATGCACATGCACAAGTGAAGTTAATTACTCCAGCCATAGCCACTTCAATTTTTTTTTCTTTTTATCAAATTTATACTTGAAGGTCTCATTCACACCATATGTGCAGAAAAACTAATGAACAAATTTCACAGTTTTATACACGTTGCAGATTCCTGCGCAGAAACAAATCTGCACATGATATTCGTGTTGTGATGTGAACAGGGCACACAGAGAACAATTGATTTTGTTGTGCCCTTGCAGAACGTATGCAGAAAAACTGATGTCTCTGCACCATGATATGAATAAAGCCAAAAGGCGAGATTCTAGGAAGCTGTGTTGCACACTGATTTCTTAAACTGCTCTGTAACATTTTATTGTTCAACCTTTATGAGCAGAGAAAGCTCCAACAAATATATTCAATTAAAATACAGCAATTGCTAAAACATAATCTTATTTAACTGCTTAATTAAAAGGATTTGAAAAGCAAAAAAATAAATAAATGATATATGTGACAATAGCATAATACATTTTACCATGTTTACTATTGCATACCACATTTTAATTCAAATGATATTCCCCTAACTTTCTCTCCTAACATATTACACACAACCCTACTGTATATAAAACACTGTAACAAATCTTGCAGAGACATTGTGAACGTAATATTGCTAGACACAACTAAATATAAGCTAGATAAATATCCTATAACCATGTTATTAAACACTTGATGGAAATAGAGTAGCCATAACTTGCCTTCAGATCAATTTGCACTCACTTTCAATCAGTTTCATTAAACCTGATTTAATTGGCCAGTGTGGAAAATTATCAGTGGTTTTGCATCCGTTAGCACTGAGGTACTTTTTGTTCATGAATATGATTGATCAGAATGGGATTACATTGTGGAAACAGAGATGTGATCAATAAATTATGATCATAAATTACAATTGTATCTTAACTATTAATTGAAATCCACTTCCACATGTGTGACATATAGATCAATTTAGTTGTTAGCTATAGATTAATTATTCTTAGGTGTGATCAATCAGAAAATAAATCAATCATTTAACCAAACATTATTGGACATGGGGGAGATTTACTAAAAAATGTAGCCCTCAGAATCTGGTGTGCTGTTCATGGTAGCCAATCAGCTTCTACCTTCAGCTTGTTCAATTAAGCTTTGGCAATAAAAACTGGAAGCTGATTGGTTTCTATGCAGAGCTGCACCAGATTTTGCACTTTCCCGTTTTAGTAAATCTCCACCCCATTAGTCTTCTAATGCATCTGCCAGGTTTGCTCAGTAATACCATAGTAACATTAAGATCACTTGTAAACATCTACAATGAAACCATTATTTTCAGATCACTAACCAATCCGTTCTCTTCTGGAAGACAGCTCTGATAGTTTGCTTTGCAAAGATAGTTTGCCAAAGCAAGGTGTAAAGCAAAAGTCTTACTATTACAGTCATCAACTATGGGGTTGATTTACAACAGGAAACTAGGCAGTTCGCTTTACAAGGAAGTTTCCCTTAGCTTAGTGAATGAGGTGATGCTCCACTGACTTCCATTATCCAAATTTTTTTTTTTTCGTTATTCTTCCTTGCATGTGATTGAACATTCTGTGCAAAGTGAATTTTCACCACAATCCCTAAGCTATATGAAAATCCCTAGCAATGTCAAAACGTCCTTGTAAAGTGTCAGGACCTGAATCACCTGCTGATGGTAGTGTGGTTCCCTGGGCAAGGAACTGGAGAGCAGTACATGGAGTGTCTGCAGGCAAAAGTGAAGCTTGGTGGGGGGTTCCTTGCAAATTTAGGCTGTATTTCTGCAAATGGAGTTGGAGATTTGATCAGGATCAATAGTGTCCTCAATGGTGAGAGAAAAAGGTAGATACTTATCCTTCATGCCATAACATCAAGAAGGTATGTGATTGGCCCCAAATGTATTCTGTAGCAGGATAATGAGCCCAAACCTACAGCCAATGTCATTAACAACTATCTTCAGTGTAAAGAAAATCAAGGAGTCCTGAAAGTGATGGTTTGGCCCCCACAGATCCCTGATCTCAATAACATCAAGTCTGTCTGGGATTACATGAAGAGACAGAAGTATCTGAGGCAGTCAACATCCACAGATCTGTGGTTAGTTCTCCAAGATGTGTGGAACAACGCACCTGTCAAATTCCTTCAAAAACTGTGTGCAAGTGTACCCAGGGCTGGTGCTAGACTATTTCATGCCCTAGGCAAGGTCAGCTACTTGTGCCTCCCCCGTCCTCCAGAGAAAAAGTAATAACTGAAAAAACAAACCATAGAAAACATTAAATCAACAAAACATGACACTGCTAAATGTATTTTAATTAGCAAAAATAAGTGCCATAAGATGCCACCAGCACCAATATTAAAGATAAAATCTGTGTCACAGATGGTTGGTAGTGGCAGGGTGACAGTTGCAGTGAGTGGAGGATGAAGTATCCACAGTCTGACAGATCCCAAGCTGGTATTCCCTAGGTAATGGGGGGGGGACGGGGACGCTGGGACAGCAGGCAGCCCAGCCCACAGACCAGAGAGAACACCTGAACTGAGTGATCCCACACAGTGACAGATCTGACACAACACACCAGCACCAACACGGACACAGATCAGCAGGCACTAGAAGAGCAGGCTGTGGGATCATGATGATGCCATCCCTCACTGCCATATTGCACATGTGATGGATGGCTGGGCAGCCGGGTCACACTCACATAGACACGAGTCAGACATTATCTTGCTCCGCAGGCGCAGCTCCACCTCCGCTGGTGAATGGGAAGAGAGGGGCTGGAACTCCACAGTGATCAGCAGCCACCAGCTTCCGAGTCTGAGAGGAAAACTGGAAGGAGCAGCAACTCAGCTGCTACACTGGCCACAGACACCCAGCATCTTTCTCTGTCCGTTCTTCCTCTCCTCTGCCATCCCTCCCCCTAGCTGAAGGATTAATACTGACGTGGCATCCCACACAGAGAGAGTGCCGGACTGTGCTGTGCCCAGGTGCCCCTAGGTGGCAGTGCGCCCTTGACAGCTGCCTAGTTTGCCTAGTGGAAACACTGGCCCTGAGTGTACCTAGAAGAGTTGAAAGCTTGATGCTGTTTTGAAGGCAAAGGGTGGCAAATTTTTATTTAGTTATTTTATTTATTACAGGTACTTTTATTGCGCCATCAATTTAAGCAGCGCTTTACATGTGTATATACAGTATATCAGGCCTTAAAATTTCCACTCACCTGCTCGCATTTCGCGAGTGGAAATAACATGGAGGCGAGGGCCAGATCGATCAAACAGCCGATGGCAATGGAGCGGGGTGCCGGCACCAGAGGCGGAATGAGCTTTTAGGCATTAAGCACTCACACACTACCCAAGGGCCCAGAGTCCTTAGGAGGTTCTATGACAGGCTCCTGAAAGGATGGGAAGGGGCCGCAGGGTGGACTGTGCAAGCGTGCTATGAGTCCGGTCTGGTGAGAGGAGAGAGTGACTGACAGAGCCCAAAGAGGAGGAGAATCCACAGACTGGTGAGAACTCTGCATGTAACAGTGGGGAGGAAGGGGGAGAAATGTTTGTGACAGGAGTGCTTAGAAACGGAGTGTGGCAGGCTGAGAGGGCCAGAGGGGAGACGTGTGTGTGTGTGTGTGTGTGTGTGTGTGTGTGTGTGTGTGTCTGCATGGGTTGTCTGTATGTGTGTGTGTGTCTGTATGTATGTATCTGTGTGTGTGTGTGTGTGTGTGTGTGGTGGTGGCTCTGTATTCACTTTATGTAGTAGGGGGCCCTGTGTGTGTTCTGGGGGGGGGGGCGCGCATTGTACCATAATGGAGACCATGTGTTCTAAGAGGGGGGTTGTGTGCTCATAACCTCAAATTATGGGCGGATGGTGACATATTTGTGAATAGCAGAAATACCCCTTTTGTTGCCCTCCTTCCTCCCTCTTTTTCTCTTACCCCGTTCTCTCTCACCCCCCTTTCTTCTTCTTTTTTTTTTTAAAAAGGGGGTAGAGGACATGGCTATGGGGGGTGAAGGAGGGTATATATTTCTGTAACTGTATTCTACATAAAACATTTAACCAAGCAATTTAATGAGAGAATTTACAAGGGCGTGTTTAGGGGAGGGATTAGGGGGCGTGGCATGGTAGAGGTTGGGCGGGGCAACTGGTAGCGAGTAACTCTTAAGGCCTGCTAGTAGCTCAGGACTTGAAATTTTAAGCCCTGCAGTATATATTGTACATTCACATCAGTCCCTAATCCTCAAGGAGCGTACAATCTAAGGTCCCTAACTCTCAATTATACCCACACATACTAGGGCCCTTGGATAGAAGCCAATTAATCTACCAGCCTTTGGAGTGTGGGAGGAAACCCGAGTACCCAGAGGAAACCCATGCATGCACAGGGAGAACATGCAAACTCCAGGCAGGTGGAGCCGTGGCTGGGATTCGAACCAATGACCCAAGTACTGCCAGATCATTTACTTTCCATTTTGTTACCTGATAAAAAAAATACACTATGAACACTTCTATTTCTGAAAGAATTCTTTTATAGCATTTTTCACACCTGTCTAAGACTTTTGCACAGTAATGTAAACAATACTAATAAATATGTATATTATCTCTTTTGTCTGTAACTCCTTTTGCCAACTAATATACAAAGATTAGACCTTTGAAGGTGCTAATACCTGTCATTGATATTGCCACAATATTGAGATTAAGCAATATTGAGATATTTATAAGTAGCCATTAAAAAACAAGAAGATAAGAAATTACTTATAAAAGATGAATGAATTACTACAAACAATCTAGCATATAACAATATTGCATCAACCTTTTTCTCATGAGCACAAATGCAGAACCATTAATTTTGTGTCTTAGATTTCTAAGTCTCCCTAAATAAACAAAAAAAC